ATTATAATGGTGTTACTGCTCTTTATAGAGGTTATTAAAATGGCATTCCTGCTGTTATTATAAGGTTATTACTGCTGTTTATAGAGGCGATTATAATGGTGTTACTGCTCTTCATAGAGGTTATTAAAATGGCATTGCTGCTGTTATAATGTTATTACTGCTGTTTATAGAAATTATTTTATTGTTATTCCTGCTGTTTTATAAATGTTATTATAATGTTATTACTGCTGTTTATAGAGGTTATTGTAATGGTATTACTGCTGTTATTATGTTATTAATATTGTATGTTAGATTATTATAATGTTATTGCTGCTGTTTATAGATGTTATTATAGTGTTATTACAGGTGTCTATGGATGTTATTAGTATGTTATTACTGTTGTTTGTAAAGATAATCAATTTACTACTTTGTATGGATGTTATTATACTGTTGTTGCTGCTGTTTATTGAGGTTATTATAATGTTACTGCTGTTTATGGATGTTATTATAACATTATTATTACAGTCTGCTGTTTATAGAGGTTATCATAATGTTGTTAATGCTGTTTTATAGAGATTAATAAAATTAGTACTGCTGGTATTATAATGTTATTGCTGTGTTTATAGAAATCATTATAATATTATTACTGCTGCTGTTTATTAATATTATTATAATGTTATTAATGGTGTTTATAAAGGTTATTACTGCTGTTATTATAAGGTTGTTACTGCTCTTTATGGTGGTTATCATAATGTTATTACTGCTGTTTATAGAGGTTGTTATAATGTTAATGTAATGCTATTATTGCTGTTTTTGGATGTTATTTTAATGTTATTAGTGCTATTTTTGAGGTTATTATAATGTTAATACCGCTGGTTATAGATGTTATTATAATGTTATTTCTGCTGTTTTTAGAGGTTATTATATATCTGCTGTTTATAGGGGTAGCAACAATGCTATATGGGATAAATTGTAACACGTGATAAATATTAATGATGATTTTATTCTACAGCCTCTATTTAGTTTCTAAATCACTGCACACGGCATGACATTTTACTGGAGTGTTTCTATTGATCTTTATAATTAAAAAGTGCAGCCGTTAGTCGTTTGAACATTTACACTGTTAAGAGAACCATTCACAAACCATGAAATCAACCATAAGTTTATCCTGACCTGTATCAAGTGGTGCTGTTGAAAAGAGTTTAGTCCATCTTTACTCTGATGTGTTGATTTGGTTCTGAAATGCGGGTACACACTCAATGTAAACAAAACACTGGGCTGAATTCGCCAAAAAACACACATAAGCTTGAATCACAGGACTCACAAATGGTTAACAGTAAGCTGTGTGGACAGGGTAAAATATAAATCTACCAGTATATTTATTGTAACATGGAAACAAAAATGGTGGAATCAGGCAAAGGTAGAGTCTCAGAGAAGCAGTTCAGATGGAACTATCTGCTGCTTCACTTGAGGGACAAAGAAAGATGGACTAAGACACCTGTCAGAGTAAAAATCAAGGATCGTGAAGAGCGATGGAGCATCACAAAGACAGAGGTCAGCTTTCAAACACGCAGGACCTTTACAAAACTTCAGCCTAACCTTTCTTATTCAACAAATCACAGCATAAATCCATATTAATACTTTAAAACTGTTGCACTTCTTGAACAATTCTCCCGTGACATTTCGGTTGTTGATCTAGTTTCAGTCACTTCAGCTGTTTCCAAAGAGTAAAAAACACGTTGTCCTTAGTATCTGGTTGCAAATTTTGTTTACAATTTTTATTTTATTTATTTTAAGGACACATAACATCAAGAAGAGGGAAAAAAAGTACATTTTGATCCTTTGTATATGATTTTTTTTACCTGCCTTTTTGACTTTGCAAGAATACCTTAAATATAAAATATAACCTCTGACTATTTTCATTAATGATTTATGTGAAGCTCATGTTGTGTACAGCTACTGGCATCTTTATATTTATGTGCAAGGAGTCAGACCTTATGGAAAATCTTTTTTTTAAAGGTTCTCTGGACTTTATAGTTTTTCTTTTGAATTTCAGCTACTTTTTCCTCTTGTTTTTTGTTAATTTTTTTGTACCTGTGAATGACAGAATACTGGGCAGTGAGTGTTTAAAAGTAAAGCCAGTAGAGAAGTGAGGAATACATGAAGAAGTTGAGTCTAAAAAGTAGTAGATGCACTTTATTTGAAAGTTGTGTACTAGAAAAACCAGAGAAACAAACTCCAGCAAAGATCTGATGCAGGAGAGATGGATCATCAATTAGTTCAGCATTACTTGTATGCCTGATTTTCATTTAATACCCTTTTGAAATAATTTGTCTGGTGCTAAATACAGGTTATGGGTCAAACTGAGGTATTGTTGCTATTTCTCATAGTCAGTCAAAAAAAGAATAAACTTGTGTTTTATTGACGGGCTACTAACAACAAAGGCCCAATTTTAACACAGTTCTTACCAAGTTGTTTGTTGTGTGTTAACAAAAGTTGACTCATCCTTTGAGTTTAAGACCATTTTTTATTAATGATCCATAGGTCTGAGCTAAAAATGGTTTAACAAACAAAACAAACTCTTTTCTGAAAAGGATCAGGGACTGAACTGAAAATACGTATAAAAGCAGACAAAGGAAACTGCAGACATTTTTTTAACTGACCAGTTGGTTTAACAAAACGTCTGTTTTCATAGAAGTTCAATTTAACAGCTTCAGTGAAGGGTGTCTGTTTTCTCTGAAAAAGTTATGGATTAAAGTGCCTGCAGTCCCATAACGGTAACAGGTTAACAGAAAAATAGCTGATCTACGGAAACAAACAGCCAATCTGACCCATTATTCTAAAATCTCTAGAAAGCTCCAGTGATGTTCACCTAGTTTGTTGATTTTACTGACAGTTTATTGAACTTCGTAGAGCTGCCACTAACATTGATTTTATTTACTGTCATCTTCTTAAGAAGATTTAAAGGCAGTAAAAGTGTAATTTGTGACCAGAAACACTTTATTTTCTAACTTGTGATAACTTTTCAGAAAGAGTACTTATTGTTTGTTCAGTGGGCTGCAGTGATGACAACAGGTCAGTCAAACCGCTTTACGGTTTCATCCGTCATCAGATTTACCATACCATACCATACCAATTTATTTATATAGCACTTAAAACAGCAACAAGGCCAACCAAAGTGCTGTACAAAAGAACACAAACATGCACAGCAGACAGGAAAACATAAAATAGAAATACAGATACAAATAGCAGCAGAAGCTAACTAAAATGGCCAACAGAGTAGAGAACAGACCGGGCCAAAACAAATCACACCGTGTTAAAGGCAAGCGAATAGAAGTGGGTCTTCAAGCGAGACTTAAAGACTGAGAGTGTGGGAGCCTGCCGGACACTCAGTGGCAACTCATTCCACAGTCGTGGACCTGCAACAGAGAAAGCCCTGTCACCCCTGAGCTTACGACGGGTTTCTGGGACTGAGAGAAGCATCTGGTCTGCTGACCTCAGAGAGCGCGGTGGGACATATGGCTGCAGAAGATCAGTGAGATAGGATGGGGCGGAACTGTTCAGTGATTTAAAAACATACATGAGAATTTTGAAATGGATCCGAAGGTGAATGGGTAGCCAGTGCAGGGAGGCCAAAACTGGCGTGATGTGCTCTCTATAGCCTGTACCAGTTAAAAATCGGGCTGCAACATTTTGGACCAGTTGTAGACGAGCAATGGAGGACTGACTGATTCCAAACAGAAGTGAATTGCAGTAATCAAGCCTAGATGTTATGAAGGCGTGGATCACTGTCTCAAGGTTCTTTTTGGAGAGTATAGGCTTCAGCTTAGACAGCCGTCTCAGCTGAAAAAAACAGGATTTGACCATCATGTTTACGTGACTGTTGAGTTTTAAGGACGGGTCCATTATCACCCCCAGATTAGTGACCTTTTGTTTCTCTAGCGGGGCTAGAGAGAAAAGGTCAATGTCATGGTTCATGAGTGAGCCACTGGGATGGAACAGCATGACTTCAGACTTCTTCTCATTGAAGCTTAAGAAGTTTAAAGCCATCCAGTCCCGGATGTCAGCCAGGCAGTCAAGAAGAGGCTGAATAGAGCGTGTGCCTCTGTGCCTCAGGGGGAAGTAAATTTGGCAATCATTGGCGTAGAAATGAAAGGGTATGTCGTGTTTGCGGAAGATAGCACCTAGTGGCAGCAGGTATAAAGAAAAGAGAAGGGGACCGAGGATGGACCCCTGCGGTACCCCCCACTGGAGCGCTGTCGATGCCGAACTAGAATCTTTGATATTGACACAGAAGGTTCTGTCAGATAGGTAGGACCCAAACCATTTAAGGGCTGACCCTGTGATGCCCACCCACTGCTCCAGTCTAGAAATGAGGATCTTGTGGTCGATGGTGTCAAAAGCAGATGTAAGGTCCAATAGGACCAACAGCACAGAATCACCTGCGTCTGTGGAAATGAAAATGTCGTTAAAAACCTTCAGTAGAGCAGTTTCAGTGCTATGGCGAGATTTGAAGCCAGATTGGAATAACTCAAGGATAGCGTGATTTAAAACACGTCTCACAGTCTTCAACCAGATCAGAACCGGAACCCAGATGAGTACTAACAATACAATGGAAGTCATATAAGTACCAGCACCCTGCAGCAACAAGCACCTCAACTAGCTTTGAGCTTTGGTTTAAAGTAGAGATGTTCCGATCGATCGGCCACCGATCATGATCGGCTGATTTCTGTTAAAAAGTACCTGATCGGCGGCAGCCTTTCAATGCTGATCACAAAAAACGATCACTTTAGAAGTCTTGTGATATATATATATATATATATATATAT